GAGATCGCAGAGCAGGAGGATCTGTATGCGCAGGCACTGGAGGAATACAGGGGGATCTTGAAACAGATCCGGAATACTGAGAGTTCGGTACAGCCCAGTCGAGACCACAAGGCCAAGGTATATTCCATTGCGAGATTCAGCCAAGTCTATACTGATGATGTCGCAGGTGTCAGATGAGATCGCCAAGTTGAAGTACAAGGAGCCACAGAGTACTAAGATCGTCCAGCTTGAACAGGAGCTCGTCCGCGCGGAGGCACAGAGTTTGGTCGCAGAGGCGCAACTCAGCAACATCGTATGCTCATCCCACTTGGTTTTTCACGAAGCTCGCTAAGCGTATTAGACTCGCCAGAAGTTCAAGGAGGCGTATGACCACCACTTCGCGGCCACGATCGAGCGTGCCGAGAAGCAGATCATTCTGGCCAAACACGCTCGTCGGCTCTTGAACCTCGTTGACGACACCCCGATCGTACCCGGTGACGTGCACCCTGCTTTCGCAGAGGTGGAGGCGTCTCGTCAAGTCCTTACTGATGCAGAGGATGATCTCCGCAACTACGAGCTGCACGTAGAGCCAATCCACTCTTACTCAGGAAATCTCGGCGTAGGTGCGATGCCTGGAAGCGCAGCAGGCCCAGTCCCAGAGTCGACCACGTACGAGAGTAATACCAGGAGCGAAAGCCCAGTTGGCGAGAGCGCATTTGACACGGCGGGCTCGGCTCCTTACCCTCTTGAGGAAGCGGACAGAGTTGAGAGGCAGGAGAACATTCCAACGCAGGAGGTCCCGCATGTTGGCTGAGGGTCGACGACTTTGGAACCTAGAGAGAGCTTGGAGGGCTAATGCTTCTTACGGCCACGTGTACTAACAATGACTTGATACTCAACTGAATTCGATAAGGTGTACTACTTTAGTAAAAATGCATACCGAGCTTTCGGGATAGTTAAAGAGTGACACGTATACAGACGATGGGTTTCGGTGATGCCTAGATGTTGACCCGAACAAGCTTGTAAACAGATTATGATCCGCAAGTCGTGAGCGAGTAGATTCTCTTGGCATAACTGGTGCTTGATTTCTAGCATTTGAAGATGGCGGCAATGCAAAGGTGTTCTAAGGCACCTAAACCACGTTTGGCGGGGGTCTACTTAGCGCGGAATGTGCCGCTTCCCAAGAAGACACATCGAGTTCCTACCTCCTACCTAAGCTTAAGTTCCCACGCCTCCCGCCAACACCAGTACCTCGAGCCACCACTCCTACCGCTTCTCAACTGCACTCTCTGCTATCTGCGCCATGGCGGACCGCAAGAAGAGAGACCGCTATGCCTCGGCCGCGGGCTACCAATTCGGGGCCAACACGCCAGATGCTGCCGGGGGAGCTCCACCGCCAGCAGCACCCGGCTATGGAGCGCCCGCACCTTCATACGGAGCACCAGCGCCCTTATACGGGGCACCGGCGCCGGGCTATGGAGCGCCTACCCCCGGATATGGGGCACCGGCGCCAGGATACGGAGCACCAGCGCCCCAGGATCCGAATGCCCTCAACCAGCAGTTTGGCCAGATGAACCTGGGCCAGGGCCAGGCAGCCCCCCAAGCACAGCAGCCCGTCGCGGCCACGCAGCAGAACCAGTTGTTCCCCTCGGACCTGATCGCCCAGCCCTTCCACGTCTCGGAGCTCTACAACCCTCCGCCGCCTATCCACCTACCCTCGAACGCCGCAGTAACACCCTCTCCGTATGCGAACGAGTCCAGCAAGTACCTGCGGTGCACCCTGAACACGATCCCCACCAACCACTCGCTGCTCAAGAAGAGCAAGCTGCCATTTGCGCTGTGAGCATAGTTCCAGGACGAATTGCATGTGACACGTTCACTGACTTCCTACCCACAATGTAGCATCATCAGCCCGTATGCCAGCCTGCACGACTCCGAGGACCCAGTGCCCGTGGTTCACGACCAGGTCATCAGCCGCTGTCGACGATGCCGCGCCTACATCAACCCGTTCGTTGCCTTTTTGGATCATGGGCACCGCTGGCGCTGCAACATGTGCAATCTCACAAATGATGTTCCTCAGGCATTCGACTGGGATGCAGCACAGCAAAAGAGCGTGGACCGCTGGGATCGAGCCGAGCTGAACTACGCCGTCACCGAGTTCGTGGCGCCGCAAGAGTACATGGTCCGGCCTCCACAGCCTCTGTGCTACTACATCATCCTGGACTGCACTCAGGGTGCTGTGAACAACGGGCTTCTTGCGGTTGTCTCGAGGGTCATCAAGGAGGCTTTGGGCCGGATACCGAATGCGGATGGAAGGACGCGCATCGGTTTCATGGCCGTGGACTCGGGCCTGCACTTCTTCTCAGTCCCCCCGGACAACAGCGAGAACAACGATCCTCAGCAGCTTGTGGTGACCGACCTCGACGAACCCTACCTACCCATGCCCTCGGACCTCCTCGTTAGCCTGAGCCAATGCCGCAACAACATCGAAAACTTCCTCGACCGTCTCCCCGCTATGTTCCAGAATACCCATGTTCCTGGTTTCGCGCTTGGCTCCGCTCTCCGATCTGCTCACAAGCTGATTTCGCCGCTCGGAGGAAAGTTGACCGTAATTGCCGCATCGCTCCCCAATGTAGGACATGCTCCTCTTGCGCCCCGAGAAGACAAGTCGCTGCTGGGCACTGGGAAGGAGGGTAGTCTGTTGCAAACCGCGAATAACTGGTACAAGTCTTTTGCCGTGGAATGCTCTAAGAACCAGGTCTCGGTAGACATGTTCCTCTTTTCGTCACAGTACCAGGACGTCGCGACATTAAGCAACCTCCCGCGATTTACAGCAGGCCAGACGTACTTCTACCCCGGATGGAACGCTGCAAGGCAAGAAGACGTGGTCAAGATCGCAACCGAGCTAGCGGATTACCTATCTGCTGAGATTGGGTTGGAGGCCGTGCTCCGAGTGCGTGCTACCACTGGACTCCGGATGAGTGCCTTTTATGGCAATTTCTTCAACCGCTCATCCGATCTGTGTGCTTTCCCAGCATATCCCAGGGATCAAGCAGTAGTGATTGAAGTAGCTATTGACGAGACGATTTCGAAGCCATTCGCCAGTCTCCAGGCTGCGGTTCTGCATACTACTTCAGGTGGTCAACGTCGCATTAGGGTTTTGACACTTGCCGTTCCTACAACCGAGAGTCTGGCATCAGTCTATGCATCAGCGGATGCGCAAGCAATCACGACATACTTCAGTCACAAGGCTGTCGAACGCGCACTATCGAGCGGTCTTGATGCTGCACGCGATGCTCTGCAGGCGAAAGTCATCGAGATCCTGTCGACATACAGAAAAGAGTTGGCCGGCAGCAGCATGGGAGGTGGTGGCCTCCAGCTCCCCCAGAATCTGCGTGCTCTCCCGATCCTGTTCTTGGGCCTTATCAAAAATGTCGGCCTCAGGAAAAGCGCTCAAATTCCCAGTGACATGCGAGCGGCGGCGCTAAACCTTCTCTCGACGCTGCCACTAAGACTTTTAACGCAGTATATTTACCCGAGTTTCTACTCGCTTCACGTATGTCGTCATATCGCTTAATTCGACATGATCTACCGACTAACACATCATAGGACATGCCCGATGATGCTGGTGTACCAGAGCCTACCACGGGTCAAATTACGATGCCCCCAGGTACGAGCAATCAAAACACTTGAAATTCTACAACATGCTAACTTGAACCAGCTCTGAATCTTTCCTCCATGGCCATGGTTCCATATGGTCTGTATCTACTGGATGATGGTGTCAACCAGTTTGTGTAAGTACATGCATGCGGACGATCGGTGATCGATATGGAGACTGACTTCAACAGGTGGATTGGTCGAGACACTGTCCCAGCACTCCTCGCCGATGTGTTTGGTGTCGAGGACCGCACGCAACTCAAACAGGGCAAGGCTACATTGCCTATTCTCGACAATGAGTACTCGGAGCGAGTGCGAGCTGGTAAGTCGAAGTCCCCACTGGATTCACATGAATCAGACGTCTAACGTGAACAGTCGTCGAGAAGTCGCGAGATCACAAGTCGAAGGGCGTAGGAAGCATCGCCCTGCCACAGCTCTACATTGTTAAGGAGGATGGTGACCCACACTTGAAGCTCTGGGCACAAACATTGCTCGTTGAAGATCGAGCAGACCAGGGCGAGAGCACTGCTCAGTGGATAGGCAAATTGAGGGAAAAGGTATGTTGATTCCCAAAACCCGTGTCACTGGTTCTGCCAACGTGGCTTCATCGATCTTCTATGGACCTGAGTTGCTGACTTGAGGACTAGGTTGTGCAGTAATACTGTCAGAAAAGCACCGGTTTCGTACAACTCAGGTGGTGAGTAATGAAATGAGCAACAAGGACACTCCAAAAGGGGTGTCGTGAGCTTTAGTACGCTGTAACTTGGGCTATTGTCTGTCTAGCGAACACCAGCGAACGAGCACGAATAGAACATGAGCAATATTGAAGTGATCAGCTTTTTTTGTGCCAGAATTCTCGGTTGCAAAGCCTCGGCAGCACCTTTTTCTTTTCGTGTGTTGCCGAGAATATCCTTTTGCTACGTTGTACTGGACGTTGTGCTGCGAAGAAGGATGCTCGTCATTGCTACACGGCGTGCGTGTGGAATGCGTGGCACGGAAACGAGGTGCTGCGAGTATCGGGTGCTTGCATGATGTTGTGCGAGTACGGCTGAATCTTGAACTCAGACTCGAGGTTGAGTAAGTGTATCAAGAAGAGTACGGCACGGAAGGCATACCGGTGACAGATCGGGCAACTGATAAGAAAGGTTTTTGGATATGGGAAAGCCTGGATAATTTATTACGGGAATCTATAGTTATTTAAACGAATGGCAAGTTGATGATTACTGCTATTTACCCCACCCTAGTGCATTCCACAGAACGTGCCCCTCATTGTGTAGCATATGGCCGTCAGCAAGCTTTAGTACTGAGCCGCAAACTCTAAATATATTAGCTACAATTTGAGGTCTGCTCATGAAATTGAAAATGGGCCGGTAACTCAGTGGTAGAGGTTGGTTTACCCCTGACTTCTTCAAAAACCCCCAACTAACCCCAGATCAGTGTAGGATTGCAGTTCATCAAAGCAGTTTATCCCGAAGTCACCGGTTCGACTCCGGTTCGGCCCTGTGTTTTTGCTCTTGCTGCTGCTTGGAGGACAACAAGCAACATACTTGAGGCGTATCTTTCTGGCTGTTTGTGCGCCTGATATCAGAGTAATGTTTGCAATAGCAGCTTGCCAAACACACAGTTTGCGAGCAACTTTATCCTATATGTAGTTGTTTGCTGCGAAGCTATTCACGCTCTTACATTTGGCTCCTTCTTCTATGTGACAGTTGGATGTATAATTCACTTAGGTACTGACTCTTGCATGCTAGCCTTGCAACTCTGCGAGTCGTGAGCCTCAACTTTGCCCCTAAACACCATGCAGCTATCGCCACCACGACCACAATTGCTAGCGGCAGATCCCTCGTCTGTTTAGTCAAATTGCGCAAGCCTGCATACCGGCGGCAAGGCTACGGTATTCGATACCATGGTTCGCATATAGAAAACGAATTTCACCAATCACCTGCGCGAGGAATTTGAGTTTTGCCTGCGTTTACATCAGCCTATAAGCCACGATGCTGTTGACCCAAGCGTCGGCTCGATATACCATTAAGTCTTACCAGGTACCACGACGGCAATCTCGATAGCACGAGCATGGCAACGGAAGGAGAAAACATGGAACGGATCACGCAACGAGGCGCTATCAGATGACCACGATATTGCGATCCATGGAAATCGTCCCGCGTGCGTCCGCTATGTTCCACATAGACCACCCTCGAACGCCAGGAACTGGTTGAGCCACATCTCATCTGTAATCCTCCGTCAGCGCGCTCCTGCAATCACCAACGCCCAACGCCTGCCCAGGTGATGAGTCCTCACGCGACGACCTACGATGCTGTTGGGTCTGACCGCTTTCTTCAACATCCATTGGCGCCTTTCGCGCAAGTTTGTGCCGCTGAAGTCCGGCGGGTCCATAGATGCTAGCCTTTCGCTTCGGCAAGGTACAAAGGTACAACACCACCTGGACACTTTATATGTGGATCCTGCTCGAGTCCCCTTGCAGCGGCGCTTACGCTGTTAGCTTGCAGCACCCGTCCGCGTCGACCAATTGTTCCACCAGCGCATGGTCAGCTATCCGACGCCATGCTCGTCTGCTTACCACCGCCTTGATCCAGACTCGCGACTTGCCTGTCAAGACGGGACTAAAGCGCCGACGTTGGGATGATCAGCCAACGTGCCTCACTATGATTACACGTGAGCCGCGGCGGTGTGGCGGTTTCGTCATCAATACCAGGCCTGCGCACGCTTCAGGACCCAGCCACAGCACGCGGTCAGGGGCAGGTAGTCAAGTCCTTTTGATCCATACCTGCAAGTTATGTGCTATCGACGTTATAACTATCCAAGAAATAGAGAGTGGTGTTTGGAGCCTCGCCCGCATATGACGGTGGTGCTTCCTGGCACAAGGGCCTGCTGGAATGGCCGATTACCTGGACTCAGACAAGCATTGCTCACCAGGGCTTGATATGCAGTCTGACAGGTGGGTGAGGACTGCTCTTAGGGCTCGGCTGGACATCAACTCTGGGTAGGCCCAGGCTAAGTTTCGCTAATTCCAAGGATCTGCAAGCAGATGGTCTCCGTCGCAAGATGTGGATCGGACTCTAACCCCAGCCCAGCCTTCTGCCAGGTATCTTTTCAGGGCGCACGACACTGCCGCTAAGATCCCGTCCTGTGCCTTACTGTACCGACCCCTCCTCGCATGCACTTGCGATCGCGAGTACGTTCGACTCCCCAAGACGTGTCTCGGCTGTCCACGCTTTGCACTGTCTAGCTGCACCCCAAGAGCCGCATTCTGCCGCGCCTGCTCGTGCCTGGTGTGCTTCGAGTCCGCGTCAAAGAGGGGCCAATCTCCCCGCCACCTGAGGCTTCGTCCCGCGCCTTATCATAGCCAAAGTCCGAGCATCCGTGGTTGCTCAACTCTCACGACTGGTCCGCCTTGGGACGACTGGATTATAACAACTTTCACGACGCGACGGCAATATTGACCTGCTATACTAGCTATTATTCGTCTTCTTCCTCCCTGGGTGCGGTGTCCGGATGTTGTTGCAGCGCCGCCCTCTATTCGTCATCATCTCCGTTTCAGCCTTCCACCCACTCAAGGAAGGAAAGACCCTCAGTCTCACACTGATTGCGCCTGCTCGAGGCAACTCACCCAGAGACCTGCGCCTGCACTAAACCAGAAGTATCAGGTCACTGGGGCTGCTGCCGCTTGTCGTGCAGGCTGTAGGAGTTACGCGCGTCGACATCGTTGACTTACGTGGTACATTTGGCGTTATATGGAAGAAGAGCAGGATACATCGGTCTTGTACTCGTCATCTCTGCTCGGCATGTCTACTTTCCAAGCGGTCAACACCACGCTGGCGGTGCCGGATCCGTCCCAAGGCCGCACGGGGGACGAAACGACGCCTACCACTCCACGGCCGAACAGCAGGTTCTTTCCCGAGTCGAAAGGCGGGGAGGATGTGCGTACCGAGGACCCGTCAGCGAAGACTCCTACGCGGATCACCTTTGCTGGTCTTGCTGGTCAGCGACCGTTGCCCTCGTCGCCGTTTCCGTCCGCACGCGAACTCAGCGAAACACCCTCGACTTCGAACAAGAGCGAGTTGAGCAGAGAGGACTCGCATATGTCGACACAGTCTGTAGTTTCTACACACGATGTGCAAATGGGCGACGGCGAAGAGGACGACAAGGACGGGTCGGACAATGAGAGTGCGACAAGCGATACGAACCGGCCGTCGAAAAAGAAGAAGGGACAACGTTTCTTCTGTAACGATTTCCCGCCTTGTAATCTGAGCTTCACCAGGAGCGAGCATCTGGCAAGACACATTCGGTACGTCTAATGCTAGCCATCCCACCTCACAGCTAACACCCCACAGTAAGCATACCGGCGAGCGACCCTTCCAATGCCACTGCTCCCGACGTTTTTCACGACTCGATAACCTCCGGCAGCACGCTCAAACTGTTCATGTAAACGAGGATATCCCGACCGAATCGCTTGCCGCGACGGGCACTAGATTCCAGCGGCAAATACGGACCGACCGCGTAAGACCACCCGGCAATCGCTCCAGGGCGAACACACTAGGCAGCACAAGCGGACACAGTCGGGGTCACAGCAGAAACCTGTCGACCTCCAGTATGACCTCCATGTCCAGCATGAACGTGGCCCAATCTCCCGATGTCCGACGTCGACCACCACCCCTTGCCATGGCCAGTGATGGCGGTGCAAGTGCAAGAGCGCGCTTGTCGCTCAACACTATTAGTGCATACGACCCACCGTTGATGGGAAGTCCTGGGCCCGTCGACTATGATACCCAGTCTAACGCACCCACTACGCCCACCTCCGCTACATTCTCCACAACTACTGGCAGCCCCGCTCGTTTTGGATCCGACATGCAGTCTCCCGTGTCAACATCATCTAGGCCCGTCTCTTGGGCTGGACCGCCGCCACCAGGACGTCGGTTTTCCATGTCGTCTAATGGGAATCCTTTCTCAGGTCCTCCAGGACAGGGACCTCCACCTTACATGACCCCACTGCAGTCATCTGCCGCTCCCACATTCTCAGGACAGAGCAGCGCGTATGCCAGCCCTACGGCATCCCATTTCTCGGAATCCAGGAGGGATTCTAATGCAGATGCAGACTGGAGAAGACGCACCTGGCACCCAGGAACATACACGGGTCCTCGACCAGCCACTAGTGGACTTGGATATCACCAGACACCCGATGCCCTACAGCCTTCATACACCTCACAGCCTGCGGCTTCGCAGACCACTAGGCTTCCCGGTATCGAAAGCTTCGACTATGCACCTCCTCCGCTACCACTGCCTCGCCGCCAGCCAAGTCCGATGCAGATTGATTCTCCAGCACGTCCGCTCACTTATCATGCGCCAATGCAACACACGCCAAATAGGGGCCATCAGAAACGGACGAGCATTTCGTGGGACATCGACCGTTTGAACATCGCCAGCAGCCCTATCCCTCAGCGAGACCAATGGTCGCAACAGTACCCTGGCAGTGCTGGACGACCGAGCACTGCAAGGCCAACGACAGCACCACACGGCTACTTCAGTCGACAGCCTGTGAACATTCAACCTATTCATATCCCGCCGATGGGGTCGCCCAGGACATCGCAAGAGCAGCCCGTAACACCTCGGAAGAACAAACGACAAGCTTGGTATAATGGGCCTCTCAGTCAACCGCAAAGAGCCATAAAACGTACTTCTCCCGAGGACTCAAGTAGTAGTGAGGGTGTTCCCACCCCTGGAACCATGAGCGACTACCACCCTGCTATCGTGGACAGTAACGGCTACGTAGAGGTGCCAGCAGTCATCGACGATCACAAGTCTACTCGGCCTGCGTCGATGATGGAAAGGCCTCACCCGTTACAAGCGCAACAGCACCTGCACTATCATAGTCACAGCCTCTCAAACTCGAGTTACCGCCCGCAGCGCGAACCCGAGAGGGGACCCGTAACCTTCGGACAGCCGCTACCTCAGACGGGCCACGACGATATGAGACGGCTTGAAGCTCTTGTTGCAGTAGCCACGGGCGAACAGCAAGCCGTCGAGAACCGCTCTTAGACGCCATTTTAGTACCTACATCTTCCCACACTGAGCACTACACATGCGTCGATTCTACAAATTCTCACCATTCACGTTTCGACACGCCTACGATGTTACGACCACGAAGAATACGACGAATCTCCTACGATCTAACGCAACGATATATATTTCAGATTTGGCCCAGTACCGTATGATCTTCGGGTTCACGTTCTTGTTGTTTCCTTTGTTTTGCTTGCTTGCCTTGCTGGTGAGGGCTCTTGTTGTCGCTTTCGATGATACCCATCAGAGCCTCTCGCTCGACTTGTTGGAATACCCGGGGATCCGGCATTTGATGCTCCTACGCTCTCGCTTGAGATTTCACGCATCGTTATTCTGCTTGAGTCAATTTAGTGATATACCAAATCGAACAACAGCTGGAGTTCTTTGACATTATGCTGGGCTTTTAGGCCTGTCGCTTTACGTTCTT